CAATATAATGTAAATTTTCGGTTCAACTTATGCAAGATAAACACATGTAAGCAAAGCTAGGCACCTTTATTTACATGATATTAGATAAGCGGGTGTAGGATTGAGAGATGAATCTCAAACGCCCGAACCACATACAATGAGTATTAATTTTATTGTTAGAGATAGGTTAAGACTAATGTTAAAAGAGGGAAGCTAACCTGTATGGTACACGAGAGTGACCTTACATCTGTTATCAATCATCTACTCGAGAGAGGAGTTGACTAACCTAAGAACAGTCCACCCTTCAGAAAATATATCACTAGAGCTTAAACAACTGCCATCCACTTCCAGATAGTAATATGTGGCATGTGAGCATGGAGCATTTGATAAATTCTATAGACATGATGGATATTTGTTTAAGCACAGCAAACTTTGTGTGCCTAAATGTTCTATGCGTGATTTGCTTGTGCTTGAATCTCATTGTGAGGGATTGATGAGACATTTTGGGGGTACATAAGACTTTTGATATGCTGAATGAACATTTTTATTGGCCTCATATGCGTACAGACGTAGAGAAAGTTTATAATTCTTGTATTGCTTGTAAACAGGGCAAATCTAAGTCTATGCCTCATGGATTATAAATGTCTTTATCTGTTCTTAATTCACCTTGGATTAATATATCTATAGACTTTGTGCTTAGATTACCTAGGACGAAGTGTGGTAGAAACAATATATTTGTAGTTGTTGATAGATTTAGCAAGATGTCTCATTTAGTTCCTTGTCATAAAACTGATGATGACATATTTAAAAATTAGAATACCGTCACAGTTTCAAAATTGATTCAAACAAAGAATTATAGAAAGAGAAATGAGAATCTCACTAGATGAAAGAATACCAAAAACAAGTAATTAATTAATAACAAACTTTAATCAATAGGCAAAACGATTATGGCCCCTCACGATGAGTTTCTTGTTGGGTTGGGGTTTGATGTATAGAGCCGGTGAGTCACTTGAAACCAGATCAGCTATGACAGCGAGATGGTAGTAGACCGGTTAACCGATTGTTGGTTAAAGAGATGACATGCAAGAAGGTAAATCGATTGAGTTGGGGAGGGATGGAGTTAATAACAAGGGCCAGGGATAGAGGATGAGTTGGATTAGCTAGGTGAGATTGGACAGGAAAAGGGAGAGTGAGCTAGCAAGCCCTGGAGAATAAAGAGTCTACTGTGAAGAGTGAGAGCAGAGACTCAATCGAAGATGAGGTGATATGGCGCTGTGAAGTCTCAGGTGGAAGATGATGATTTTGGTTTAAATATAGGGTATTTTTGTTTTTTCAATACAAATTAACTGTAAAACTAAAAAATTTTAATGGAAAGACTAGAATATCCGACGGAATAATAACTTAATTATGGACGTAATTAGGACGTAATTATGTATTTTGAAAAAAGCAGGTCTTACTAGTGTATTTAAATATTATATAGGGATATAATAATAATTTTACGAAAAGTTAATTGCCAATGTTTCATTTACCATGGCACACAGCCATACACGTTAGACCATCCAACTACTAACTCACTGGATTGAATTTATACACAAGTATGAACAAGCTGCAAACTTAAAATAAATTCCATATTAATAAATAAAATCCCAACTATGAGAATGATACCACAATATGCAAAAGATGTGAAGAATTGCGTATAAAAAACATTTGTTTATGGTCTTGCATTTGTTTGACTGTACAAGGTCAGCATTTGGTACACTTGATTTCAATCCAACTCAACCAGTATAAATCAAATAAATCGAAATTATATATATATATATATATAAATCAAACTAAATTGTTTATAGAAAAAATTTAATTGAATCAAGTCGGTTCGGTTTGATTTATTTTTTGGATTTGATCGATTTTTTGAGTTAAGTCGGTTTCAGTTTTATGATTCTTAAGATTTTTTATTTTATATGATAAAAAATGGATCAAATTGGAAAAAAAAAAAAAAGTTTTTTCCATTAAAACTGAAACCAAATCAAATAGTTTTAAAAAAGTCAAGCAAATAGAACTAGCTGATTCTATCTGATTTGGTCCATCAAATTTTTTTTTTTTTTTTTTTTTTTTTTTTTTTTTTTTTTTTTTTTTTTTTTTTTTTTTTCAAATTTTTTTTTTTTTTTTTTTTTTTTTTTTTTTTTTTTTTTTTTTTTTTTTTTTTTTTTTTTTTTTTTTTTTGCGCTCTGCTCAGCCCTGTTTACAATAATGGAGTCCCAAAAATATGCAAGCAAAGAATAAGCACAGTGAAATTACTAAAAACTAGTATCTTAATTCTCAGCATACAATGCAATAATCAAAATGCTAATCAGTTCAACAGTTCGCTGGTAAAGAAAAGGTTTATTATTAATCAAATAAACAATTCGACAAAATTCAATTATTTAAATAGTGGAATTTAATTTAGTATTAGTTAGAAATTTGTAAAATATCAGTTTGGTTAACTAAAAAAATAGTAACTGAAATAATTAATTTTTATTAATGAGCATATAACTCTTATAGGTGATATATCAATCTATACTATATATAAATATAAAAAAAATATGAATAATAAGATTTTCAACAGCGCTATTAATGAATACTGAGATCTCATTAGAAAATTTTTCGCATCATCTGATGATATATATTTTGGATGGACTAATAATGTCGCTAATAGTGTAGTAATGATTAATATAAGCTTTTCTACTGGTGGTGCTTATGGCACCTTAGCTTATATTTCCCTCTGGCTTAATCTTCCTCACTGGAAAGCTAATTCTGATAAGTTTGATGTTCGAGATTTTCCAAAACAGTATCGGCTTGAAATAACTCAGTTGCATTGCATCGGCTTTTAAAACATGTTGATGGAACTGATCTATGGTTGAATCTTATGTAGATTCCGTATCGAGAAAGTTTAGTACAATAGCCAAAAATGTAATTAGCAAAACAATTTATATGGATATAAATCTGTGTTTTGAGAACCGGACCAGTCAATGAACCAGTAAAGGTAGGAGTTCATTGAACCGGAGGGTTCAACCAGATTTTTATATATAATAATTTTAATATATTTATTAAATAAAATTAAAAATATAGAATAAAAAAAACTTTGATATCAAATTAAAAACAGTTTCAAGTTTGGCTTTTACAAAAAGAATAAAAAACAATAAATAATTTTAAAAAAATAAAATATGACTAAATTTAATACTAAAAAATTAATTAAGTACAATAAAATATATTATTATGTTTCACATGTGGTTTCAAAGTTAGGCAATTTAATTGTTTTAATTAATATATACTTTGGGCTTAGAAACAAATAAATCCAAAAACTAAAAAATCAATGGGCCCAATTTTTAAGAGGCCCAAATTAAAAAAATGCTCACATTTTCATAGGAAAACCCTGAATTTAAATCAAACCGGTTTTTAACCAGTTCGATTCACCGATTTTTAGCAAAGTTTTCACCAATTCAGGCCGATTTTTTAGACTTGCGATTTCCTTATGCAACTTGGACCGGACCATTGTCCGGTTCCCAGTTAAACCGGTCAAACCGGCCAGTCTGGTCCTATCAATGATATAAACCATAACTAATGTTGTTTATATCTTTTTAAAAAATCATATCTAATCTAATCTTGATTGTTGATGCAGTTGGCAAGGTACATTCCAGACTCTACGGCTGGATTAGTTTTTGGAAGCAATAACAATGTTCAAATTATATATTAATGTTTGCATGTAGATTTGAACTTAGCTAGATAGCCAGGTAAAATACTTGTATTAATTATTAATTAAGTATATAGCTATAGATTTCATTGATAAATGATAATCAACAGTAAGTATTCTCCCTATTAGTTTCAGTATAAACATAATCTATATGAACATCTTCATATTCAAACTATAATTAATGGACAATTTTTCTTTTTAGATTAACAAGATCAGCATGCTAATAGATCGGGTAAGGAATGATCATGTAAAAGGCAACATCAAAGGGTTGGAAGCACGGGAAAAAATAATTCAAAATTATGTATTTAAAAAACAATAAAAACAATAATTGAATTTTTTTTTTCTTTTATGTATTTTATTTTATTACATTTATATCTTAAGTTTTGAATTTTTTTTTCTTTTATGTATTCATTTTATTACAGAATAAGTATTTTATATAAATTTAAGAATTAAGATTTTATTTATAATATTTCCCCATATCTATTATTCATTTTTTTATTCTTATGTTTTCAAAAAAATTCAGGATGCACGATTCTTTTAGATTATATTATAATTTCTATAATTACCCATGCATAATGTGAGAGTTTAGGGATTAATTATCTTTTGAAATTTGTGAGAGTTTAATGATTAATTATCTTTTAAAATTTATACATTATAAATTAAAAGATTTTTAAAACAATAATTACTTAAACAAAATTTAAATATTTCGCATGCGAATCGTGGTTAACGACTGGTATGCATAATTAACCCTTTCAAAATTTTTAAATATTACTTTTCAAAATTTTTAAATATTATTTTTCAAAATTTATTTTTAAATAAAATAAACATATGTGCGTGAGATGACGAACAGTTGAAAACTTTAATTTTACACAAAATTAAGACTTTCAAGATTTCTAAATTTTTATTTTTTTAAATTTATTTTTAAATAAAATGAACATGTTTGTGAGATGACGCAGAGTTGAAAATTTTAATTTTAAAAATATATATAATATTTTATTGTTATATCTATATATCTATAATATTGAAACGTATTTATTAGATCATATTGTAGAATTATACATATACAATTATAATGAATTTTAAACAAATGATGATATAAATTAAACTGATGTGTGTATATATACACACAGCTGTTTTATTAATTAACGTTATATTCATATTCAAATCACATGAAATTTTGTTTTAACATTATAACATTATAAATAATATAAGACAATATAATCAATACTTTAATATTAAAAAATAAAAATGAGTATAAATAACAAGTAAAAGAGAGCAATGACATAAAAAAAAATTTGAGTACGAATATAAGTATAGTCAATGTGCACGTCATAAAAGGACTAGTTATCCATAATCGTTTCTATCAACAAACATATTAAGATTATAGAAAATATGAGAGTGGGAGATCTCGAATCCTCCCACCACAAAGGTTATCGCCAATTTAGTAATAACATTTCAGTAAATAACATTTCAGTAAATAATGTACTAAAATAACAAACCCAACTAGATTCCTATATTGTGGCAGTATATCAGAAGACTAACTTACCTGCTGATTTGTCTCTCATGACCCTGACATGTAAGTGTAACAAGACTGAGCTCCAAGAACAAGCTCAAGAATTTTTACTGCATATTGACAAGGATACTTGTAAGAAGAATCTAAAATTTTAAGAAATTCTCCAAGGAAGAAGGAAATATAAGTAGAATACACTAAGTACTATAGTCAAGATGTGCTTCAGTGATAATAAAGACAACAAAAAAAAAAAAAAAAAAAAAAAAAAGCATATGACCAAGGATACTTGTAAGAAGAATCTAAAAATTTTAAGAAATTCTCCAAGGAAAGAAGGTTAATATAATAGTAGAAATACACACTTAAGTACTATAGTCAAGATGGTGCTTCAGTTGATACCCTAAAGAACAACAAGAAAAAAAAACAAAAAAAAAAAAAGAACTATATAACACTGCACAAATTTGAAACTGAAGAGAATATAACAAAACACGCACTGTATTAGAAGTCCCGAAAAAAAAAAAAAAAAAAAAAAAAAAAGAACATAACACTGCAAAATTTGAACTGAAGAGAATATACAAAACGCACCTGTTAGAAGTCCGATAACCGGAACAGGTTCCAGTAGTTTTTCCTTGCTTACAAGTCTTTGCCTGAAATAATAATTAACAAGGATTGTGTAATTTCTTGGATTAACTATATCGGAAAAGATTCCGACTTAGACACTGCAAAAAATAAGAAAGGAACTTGCAAAAAAAATCAGTACCTAATGTACTTGCCAAAGAATGGATCTCTCATAAGGTAAAGTGCCCATAACAATTTTCTTCTTTTTAACTGATTCAAATGCAAAATCGACACCTATTTAGAATAACATATATAAATATATATGCTCTGAATTAATGAGCCTTATGCATTAGAAAATTGCAAAAATAAGATACAATAGTGCAAACCTCATTCTTTTCAGAGCCAGTAAGATTAAGCTCTTGTCGTTTTCTGCTATGCCTGGACTTTGTAGCTTGTGTTAGAAAGCCTATTCCAACAAAGTCCATAGCCAGAGAAAGGAACCAAGGGGTCCAAGACCAGATTCCATATTTTCTGATAAACAAGACATAAATTAGAGGTCTTGTGATAAAAAGAACCTCTCCCACGACAAATAAACCTCCATGAAAACCTTTCTCAGACAACATTGTGGAAAGTGGTGTTCTCTCAGTCACAGGAGCTGTATAGAAATAATTGTAAATATTAATGGCATAAATAGAAATCTAATGGCATAAAATTTTCTAGAATTTATTTGTAATTTCATATTTCCATGTCTCCAATGAATGAAGATATTCATTTCACTCCCAAGAGTTCAAAATAATAAAACCAAATTCTAGTATTAAATGATTTATATTTCAAAGTAATTTATACCAAAAAACAGATAAGAGTAATATTTACATGGAAGCTCCATAATGTCATGCTGATTTTGATTCCCACCAAAAGATGCTGGGTCAGGTATCATCCTAGCATTTTCTCCAAACAAGCTCAAAGCAGACAATGCCTGCCCTTCTAAATTCCTTGGATTCTCTTCTGAATGACCAAGTTTATTATTATGGCTTCTAGGCTTTGAAAAATCTCCAGTGTTACACTCAGAAGATAAATTTGAATGCTTTTCAATATTTGGTGTTTCTCCTCCATGCAGAAGCATCTTATATCCACTATTCCAGAACAAAGCAAGCCTAACTAAAACCCTGAGTATAAGAATATGCAATTATAAAGAGTAATATACATATATATATATATACCAGAATTAAACCTCAGTTTAACTGAATAAAAATAGTGACACACACTCCTTTTGCGAAAAGGCAGCTTACTTCATTGCTTCTGTAAAAGCTATGAAATCCCATTTCTTATCTTCACCATAATAATGTTCTGCTGTAACTTCAACAAGTCTTTCAAACTCCTTTATTGCGGATATACAAAATGAATAAGGGAGACAAAAAGGCTCCACAAGGCTTGGATTTATCTGGGTTGGAGTGGAGTCGATTATATGCTCATTGATAGCAGTGATTATGCCCAAGATAGCACTTACTGCAGATGGTTATTGAATTGATCAATTCAACAATTCCAGGCAATAATAGAAAATCAAAAAAGGAAAATTGAAAAACTCAAAGGAACTCAAATTTGCAACCTAAGTTTATTTTCTTTTCTTTTCTTTTCGAGTCTAACAAAATAACAAATTGCATTCGGCAAACCCAACAGAATCACAGAGCAGTTTACATGTTGCATATTAAACCAATAGAAAACAAGAATAAGGAACGGAAAAACCCTGCCAAATTCTTAACTCAAAAGAAGAAGCCAAATGTTACCAAAATTTCAAAAAACCTGCTTCTGATGCTATTTCTGAATCGGAAATCCGCTCAGGAAGAAGCCATGTCACTCCCTGACCAAAAATATTCAATACCCATATCAGATATTACTCGAATATATAAACAAATTCCATAGATTTTCATATTTGAACCCAAAAATAAAATCATCAAACGCAAACCAATTCGTAAAATACTCTCCTTCCCCAAGACCTTCTGAAATTTAATAGTCATAGGTATAGAACACAGAGCTTACATTGGCAAGAGAATCGAGATTGTGCACGTAATCTTTATTGCTTCTAACCCATCTTTTATAAGCCTCCATAGATTCAGAATCTCTATCCAGAAAAAGAAAACTGATAGAGAGACTCAGCTCTCTAAATCAAACTCTCTTTGGTTTTCTTCTTCAGTAGTAAATGGATGGGTTAATTATAGTAACAGTGTCTTAAACACTTTTGAATTTTTTTATAAAAAAAATTAGAATTCAGTTTTCTTTTATTTTCTATAAATATTCATTTAATTTAGCTTTTCTTTTTCATTTTTTCAAATTTTTTTTATCTTATATCTCTTATCAAAACTACATTTGAAAAATTTCCCTGATCCTCTTTTGATTACAAAATGAAGTCAAAAGAAAAAATGCTCAATTTACTTCGAGGTGTAATATTTATTTTCCTCAACGGTCAGCTTTTTTATTGTTTAACACCCTATAAGAAAAGAGGTTTGTCCTCTTATTGTCGAACTCAAAAATTTGTCTCTATCGACACAGTTTTCTTCCACAGAGCCTCCAGTGCTAATTTTCTTTTCCACTTCTCCGTCTTCCTTCTTTAAAATACAAAGAATTCTTTGGCTTTTAAAATTCTTCTCTCTGTTTTTGTTTTTCTCTCACGCACTTACTTTTGTTTGTTTCCTTTCGCTCTCCAGCTTAGTTCTTTCAATGTCATTTTCTCTTTGGAAAACACTTACCACACTAGTACTATTTTTTTTTTAATTTTTATTGCTCTATAGACTAGGTGCAGGTAATAAATTTCCTTTGTGGAATAGACGTTCGTATACCTAGAATATTGATCCTATATTGCACATAAACTTTCTTTGGTTGTCATTTTCACGTTTCGAAAACGTTTCCTGCGGAGAAACGCTTATGAACTCTTCGGAAATATTTTGGAGCCATTTCCCTAAATTGAGTAATTTGGAAACTCATTTTTCCTCTCTAAATACGTTTCCATAAACGAAAACTCTCAAAAACTCATTTCTCTAAATAAATATATAAATAAATAAAAATTCATAAATCAAGTATTTTTTTATGAGTATGAAACTTGTAATTTTTTTAATTATGATTAAATATTGATTGGACTTTAACTTGTTGAATATATTTAATAATTTATAATAATTTATATTTTTATATTTATAAATATAATCCTATATTTTTCATATTTATGTGTTTCTCCCACATTTCCGTTTCTTATATTTTAAAAGAGTATTGTTTTCCTATGTCCGTTTTCACGTTTTCATGCTTCCATGTTTTCGTTTCCGTGCAACATAGGATACACCTATAGATCACACTAATTCTAAATAGTATTTTAATTCAAATGACCGTATTTATAAAGAAATTCGACTTAATTTCACCCATAGTTTCTCTACTCAGAGGGTCATTATTTTGAAGTCCTCCATCTCAATTTTGTATTATAAAACTGTCTCAACACTTTACTGTTACAAGTCTAAAAATTAATACAATTTTATGATACAAAATTGAGATGGGAGACTTTAAAGTGATGACCCCTGAGTTGAGGAACCTTGGATGAAATTAAGCTAAAAAAATTCTTAAATAGACTAGGTCTACCATGTCAGTAGCTATAGCTCCATCCACTAAAATAAAGTCACCTCAACAGTTTGTTTTTTTCCATTCCACATTAGCAACTAAGGCTCCATTTATTTCCGTAAAATAACTTGTAGGAAAATATTTTTCATAATTTTTCATTGTTTGAGGCGTTAATAAGTCAACGGAAAATATTTTCTTAATCCAAGGAAAATTAAGTCATTTTTTTAAGGAAAATAACTTTCTATATTCAAGAGAGTAAAATATTTTTTAGACTTTGATGAACCTTATAAATCCATATTTTTTAATTTATTAATCATCGTAATCATTACTTGTTGGGTTTCAATATCAATAATACACAGCGGAATAATATAATTATAACAAAATAATTATACCAACAGGGATCTGTTTAAATGATTAAAACAATAAAATTATTTAGAAGAATACATCTCTTGCAGATTCTTTGAAACTTCGATCTACGCAGTTAGGTTGTTGCAAACCACAAACCGTCCAAGTATCCAGCCTCTAGTAGTATCCACAGGAATGGATAATTAAAAAACTCTAAAACTATTTTAAAGGATTGAAATATTAGAGCGTATAATGGTGCTAGCTATCATGGGCTCTATGTTTAGTTTTGTTGCTATCAGCAACAACTCACGGTTAGACTGTATCTTAAATCTTATATATAAAAACCTTATGTCATAGATAAATAAATTATTGTTATTTATTTAAACCTTTTAAGTAAATAAATTATAACTAAAATATAGATGTGCCTATTTATTTATTTAAACAATTTAAATAAATAAATCATAATACATATAATAATAGGATTTTAAATTTAATCAATTTTATTTATTTATTTAACTATTTAAATAAATAAATCATAATTAAAATATTAAGTTTATTTAATCTAAAATTTATCTTAATCGGAGAGCGTTATAATAGCGTGCTAGCATGATCATGGGCCTTATGTTTAGTTTTGTTTGTGCCTTATCAGCAACAACTCACCGCGGTGCTAGACTGTATCTTAAAGTATCTTTTTATATATAAAAACCTTCTATGCTCATAGATTAAATTAAATTATTGTTTATTTTATTTAAACCTTTTTAAGTAAATAACATTATAACTAAAATATTAGATTGTGCACTATTTATTTATTTAATACGCATTAAAAATAAATAAATCATAATACATATAATAATAGGCATTTTAAATTTATAATCCAATTTCTTATTTATTGAAATTTTTAGATTAGTTTAAATTAAATAAAGCATAATTTATATTAAGTTTTATTAATCTGAAAATTTTATCTTGAATAAATAAATAAATCATAATTAAAATATTAAGTTTATTTAATCTAAAATTTATCTTAATAAGTTTTAGACATAAATCAATTAAGTCAATACTTAATAATTTAGGAAAAATTGTAATTAAATATAAATTACAATTTTATCCTTAATTTCACAAAATTTATTTGTAATCAAATCATACTTTATTCGATTCTCTTTTTCACTATCTCATATCCATTCTTATTTGTGTGATCTTTTAAGTTCCAAAAATGTTGGCAATAAATATAAATTAAGTTAATTAATTAATATTTGAAGGCTAAGTACATTGTCTAGCAACATGTTAAGACTATCCAAATATTTAGAAAGTTAAAGTGGTTTGAATTAAAATTTCAGTGCATGATTTATCAGTGTAATTAATATCCTTCATCATTAATGTTCTGATTTCGTAATTAGTTATGGAGTGTATCTGTTTTACTAAATCATGTTAGTTCTTTTAATCTTATCCATTGATCATTTGAATGTAATTCCAAATTTAATTTGCTAATTTCATTTTATCTTGCGCAAGTGCGCAAGGATTTCTTAATCAATACTAGTAGAGAAAAATTAGAACATTTTTCCTGATTTACCTAGAGTGATGAATTCTTTCTTAATTACACAAAAATCTCCATACAGGTCCTACTATGTCCAATTAATCATTGCTTATTATCGTGAAAGAAAAATCAAAATATATACATCCCCATATAAGATAGCTTAGTAATTTGAAGTCAAATGATCACTTATACAACCATCACTTGAGTATTCCATAGACACAGACAACTCTCCGTATAAAATTTTCATGCAGTTCAATTCAGTGAACTTATTTAAATAACAAATACCTATATATTAGTTCTAGCTATCACATATATTTGAACTTATAATATTATTGTTATTATTATATTAGTTCTAGATATCACATATTTAAACTTATAAAAACAGTTACTTTCCTAAGGAAAGAACATAATATATACCAGTCTCAATAGCTCTAATCATTGTCCCATAATGAGGAGAACATTCACTAAGAATATTTAGAGACCTTGCTTTAATGCAAATATAAAACTCATAATTACAACCACATTATAATTTGTTTTGCAAAGCAGTATTGTCTCATGGACTTTATTTTTTACCAAGATTCAAATAATAGAATATAACAGATAAATAATAGAATATAACAGATAAATAAATGCCTTTTATTGATAATAAAAATATTTACTATATGAAATATTATATTCAAAATATAACCAATCAAATTGGCTATAGGGCATATACATAAAATAGTAATAAAATACATAAAATATTTTGAGCAATACACAAAATAGTAATAACATTAAAATTTATCATTAATATTTTTTTAAAATTTAGTTTCATTTCATTTCAAAAGAATATTATTTTTTCTTAATATACATGGAGTTAATGTCATTAATAAAATTAATAATATCATTAATATTTAATAAATTAATAATATTATTAATATTTTGTTAACAAATAATAAAGCTTTCAATTTCTTTTTTTTAACAGCTAATAAAATTAATAATAATAATAATATTAATATTATTATTATTATTATTATATTAATTCTAGATATCACATATTTAAACTTATAAAAATAGTTACTTTCCTAAGGAAAGAACATAATATATACCAGTCTCAATAGCTCTAATCATTGTCCAATAATGAGGAGAACATTCATTAAGAATATTTAGAGACCTTGCTTTAATGCAAATATAAAACTAATAATTACAACCACATTATAATTTATTTTGCAAAGCAGTATTGTCTCATGGACTTTATTTTTTACCAAGATTCAAACAGTAGAATATAACAGATAAATAAATGCCTTTTATTGATAATAAAATATTTATTATATGAAATATTATATTCAAAATATAACTAATCAAATTGGCTATAAGGCATATATATAAAATAGTAATAAAATACATAAAATATTCATAAAATTATTTTTGAGCAATACACCAAATAGTTAATAACATTAAAATTTATCATTAATATTTTTTTAAAAATTAGTTCATTTCATTTTTCAAAAGAATATTACTTTTTCTTAATATACATGGAGTTAATTGTCATTAATAAAATTAATAATATCATTAATAATTTAATAAATTTAATAAATATTATTAATATTTTGTTAACAAAATAATAAAGCTTTCAGTTTCTTTTTTTAACAGCTAATAAAATTATATTATTATTATTTTATTTTATTTATTATATTATTATTATTTAAAGTAATTAATAAAAATAATAATATTATTAACATTTCATTTTTCTTTTAATAACTAATGAAAAAGTAATAAATAAAATAATAATATTATTAACATT